GCGTGTCCAATTCAGCCGCTGCTGGTCAGTTTCAACAGCGGCTGAATCTGGATGCCAGTTCTGACTTACATACAAGTTCAACTTAAGAACAAACCTACAGTCCCTATCTTGTACATAACCCAGGAACTGCCTGTTCCCGAAATTAAAAAACAAAGCAAGAGACCTAAAAAAGAGTCACCGTGGCTTAACCACCATGTAAAAGAAGCCGTGAGGGACAAAATGGCATCTTTTAAGAAGTGGAAGTCCAATCCTAGTGCGATAAATAGAAAGGAATATAAAGACTGTCAAATCAAGTGTAAAAATGTAATAAGAAAAGCAAAAAAAGATTCTGAGGAACAGCTAGCCAAACACTCTCAAAGAAATAACAAAATGGTTTTTAAGTACATTAGAAGCAGGAAGCCTGCTAAAAAACCTGTGGGTCCCCTAGACGATCGAGATATAAAAGGATTTCATTTGGTGACCCCCTAGTTCTTATATTGTGGGAGTACGTAAATAACTTTTCCTTATTCACTTTTTCCATACCAGTCATGATTTCATAGACCTCTGTCATATCCCCCTTAGCTTCCTCTTTTCAAAGCTGAAAAGTCCAAGTCTTTTTAATCTCTCTTCATACGGGACATGTTCCAAACCCCCAAACATTCTTGTTACCCTTTTCTGAATCTTTTCCAGTGCCAATATATCTTTTTTGAGATGAGGCGACCACATCTGGATGTAGTATTCAAGTTATAGGCGTACTATGGTTTTATATAGAGTCAGTAAGATATTTTCTGTCTTATTCTCTATTCCTTTTTTAATGACTCCTAACTTTCTATTTGTTTTTTGACTGCCACTGAACACTGAGTGGATGTTTTCAGAGAACTACCCACAATGACTGCAAGATCTTTCTCTTGAGCAGTTGTAGCCAATTGTGAATATATTGTTGGGATTATTTTTTTCAATGTGCATTACTTTACATTTATCCCACCTTAAATTTCATTTGCCATTTTGTTGCCCAATTACATAGTAATGCCCAATCACATTTTTCCTATGTGCTGAGGACGTTAGGGAGATTCCCAAATCTGCACTGTCCTTTGTGGGTGATGAATCTGAGGTACTGTCCCGGATTGAAGTGTCATTAGAGGAGGTTTTGGAACAAATAGAAAAACGTAATGTCAACAAATCTCCGGGACCAGATGGCATTCATCCAAGGGTTCTAAAAGAACTCAAATGGGAAATTGCTGAAGTATTATCTGTAGTTTGTAACCTATCCTTTAAATCGGCTCCCGTACTTAGTGACTGGAAGGTAGCCAATGTGACACCAATATTTAAAAAGGGCTCTAGAGGCGATCCTGGAAATTACAGACTGGTAAGTCTAACTTCAGTACCGGGCAAATTAGTCAAAACAACAATAAAGAATAAATTGTGAGGCATGTAGAAGAACATAATTTGTTGGACAAAAGTCAGCATGGTTTCTGTAAAAGGAAATCATGTCTTACTAATCTATTAGAGTTCTTTGAAGGGGTTAACAAACATGCGGACAAGGGGGATCCAGTAGATATAGTATACTTAGATTTTCAGAAAGCCTTTGACAAGGTCCCTCACCAAGGGCTCTTGTGTAAATTACATTGCCATGGGATAAGAGGGAAGGTCCTTTCTTGGACTGAGAACTGGTTAAAAGAAACCGGAAACAAAGAGTAGGAATAAATGGTAAATTTTCAGAATGGAGAGGGGTAACTAGTGGTGTCCCCCAAGGGTCAGTC